TTCTCTGGCCATTATCTCCGTAACCGTTCAACTTTGGACATAAGTGTTTTGGGTTATATCGGCATACTTTAACATAAGGAACACCCTCCCGAAGTTTGGCACATTCCTCCTGGGACACCCTGTATATATTACTTAAATTTATATTTATTTGGGGCTTTCACTGTCTTCTGTTTAATAATCTAAAAAAAATCATAAGCTACATGGATAGGTGTATCAAACATAAATGTATGTTTGTCTATAATTTCTCTTTGAAATATAAGGATTGTCATAGTGAAGCTAATAGGCAGATCTTTTTGTGACTTTTCATCAGGAACACGTCAAAAATCATAGATTTCAAAGTTCAAAATAGAAACTTTCTGTTGTTTTGAAAATTTCCACTATCTCTACGGTTTTCAAACCAGTCCTGTTGTGGCCTGAAAAAACTGATAATGAAGAATGTCTAAAATATGAATAAAAGATTGTAATGCATAATCATCACAAATTGATTTACAGAAATGTAACTTCAACAAACTTTTGAGTCATTTTGAAAATCAGTCAAACGCAATAAATACTTCTTATATATTCTCGTTATTGCTATAAAGGTATATAGTTTGAAGGAAGAGAAAATCTCAGCATGGCTACTTCACTGTAACGTGGTGGTGGAGATTCACACACATCATCAAATGACAGCATTTCCTGAATATATTTGAAGCAAAAAAGCTTAAAAACTGTCTGAAGCAGTGGTTGCGAATTTAAATGTACATCTTTGCCATTTGGTTCATGTATCTGCTTCCAATAAGCATATCACTGATTTAGGAAGGTTGGCAGTGGAGGAGCTGAATAAACTAAAATCAGTACCTGCAAATGTGGGGCAATATGAATAATGCAGTCAAACTTAAATTTCATGTTATCTCATGTGCAATAATGTTACTTGAACAGAACATCCCACATACTATCATGCTGTTTCACCGATCAATGGACAACACTCACTCCTGAGTCAACAGCACATTGCTGCACACTGCTGTCAGCTCTCATATTTATATAGCACCCGCTGTCCAGCTCGCTTTTCACCATCACGCGCCCTAACCAATCACATTGCTGCCACCACTCATATTTATACAGCACTCGATGCCCAGCTCACTCATAATCATTACATGCGCTAGCCAATCAGCACTCACAATCGCAACCGCAAGTTTCGCTCCTCCATCAAGCATGGTATAAAAGGCGGAGCCCAAAGCTCGCAATCATCAGTGACCACATCAGCCAGTCAGTCATCACTCTTAGTCCAGAGCGATCGGTCTTCAGAGTCATTGGCTTTTCACTGTGTCAGGGACGGCTGCCTCGGCTCTCCGGTGGTCATGCCCAACACACCGGGCAACTTGCGCAGCTGCTGCCACTCCAGTGACTGCACTCCGCGACCAGACATCTTCCAGCAACCACGCTCTGTGGCCAGGCAACTTCTGGCAACTGCCGCACTGCGACCAGACAACTAACTCAGCTGCTGCAACATTAGCCAACACACTGTAGCCAACATTTATTTCTACCGGCGCATGCAGCCCTACATCACCGGCCAGATAGACCAGCCGAACGGCCATGAAACTATCTACCGCGGTGGAACAAACGGCCCTTTTCAGGGCCCACGAACTTTCCGAAGTGGTTGTCTATTGGAGTATCGACAAATTCCACAACATTAATAATTCACATTCAAAGTGTATGGTTGCACAATTAAGGACTGGTTAGTTACTAGCAATGTGACAGCATTGCAAAACAGACAAGATCTTAACCCTAACAACATTTTGTCACTCAGCAATATAACAATTTTCTGCACCCCCCTCATAATAGTAAATCAAGTAATCTTGTGCTTTTACAGACACAAACAAAGGAGAATAGAGAAGGCTACAAGTTGCATGTAAAGTAGTTAGTTTCTAAGTTGGATGGCTTCCTGCTTAGACATCTTGAGGTTACAAAGAGACAAAGTTACTCTTACCCAATATACACTGTAGCCTACAAGGTAACAACTGACTTGCAGGTTAAATATATGCCTGGCTACTAACAGAATTCATACCAGAATAATACAGTGGGGGTGTGTGTGTGTGTGTGTGTGTAAGTTAACTGTAGGTCATATTCTGTTTCTGTTATATCTTATAATATTTAATAAATATTTACTTAAATTATCAGCATAAGTTTAGGGAACCTCTTATAACAATATCTTTGTATAAAAGTATTTGGAAAGACCCTGCTTATGAAATTAGGGTGATTCAGGGTCAATTTTTGTGAATATTTCATACGTCTAAAGATACTCAGACAAACACAATTCAAAGTAAGAATGAACTGAGGTGTAATGGGAGCAAGAAACCTGAACAGTTCCACATCAGACAAACAGATATCCCTTTCAACCAATGAAGCAAGCCAATAGGGCAGAAAACTGATCATTTAAGCATTTAAGCCAGGGAGTTTCTGCTGTGTCTGTAAGATGCATTATCGCTGAAGAACCTGGGTTAACCCCAGGTGAAGGCTTCTATACCTGTAGAGGTACTTGTGGATAACAATATAAGGATGGAATAAAAGACGAATGAATGTATAATGTGGCAGCCTTCTTGGCCCTTGCACCGCGACCTACAGTGGTCTATTGTGCCTAAGACTACATTTTCATTTATCAGAAAATTGTGGCCTGGTGCCAATATATCAGGACCTATAAAAGAGCAATGGCCAATTAATTTCACTTACTGTTGAAACAGAATACATGTAGCAAAGAATTGCACTTCCTCTCCTATTATGCGCACAATCCCATCAGTTGTGAGATATGAGTTAACCATAAAGTTCCCAAAAAATGTGGAAACTTAACATAAATTCTGGAACCACAAACTGCTAACTACAAGTTTATAAAAGACATTTACTAAAAGATTCAACTGAAAGCAATGTTGCTTTTAATATATACGAGCCATATAAAAACTTAAACTTCCAAATTACAATCTGTGTGACTAGGGATAGAAAAACTCACACAACTGGTAAACTAATGTAGAGAACATTAAAAAACATTCTAGTGAAAGTATATCCATCTGTAAGTAATAAATAATGATATAATCAACTTCCACTTCAAATCATTTTACATCACAAATACACACTTTGAAACTTGTTCTTTTATACCTACGCCCCACACATAGGTTAGTTGAAGCAGATTTCTTCCTTTCATTCACTGATGAATCTGAAAATTCATCTGCTAACATCACAGTATTCAAATGTCCTAATACGCAAACCATGTTTACATGTCAATGAATGAAATGTACATATGCAATTGAGGACAATGATAAACCATGTTTGCTCTGCTGATATCACTGTCAGGTTATACAAACCCAATGCACACTCACATGATGGGTATCACAGTTTGGCCAAAGCAGGGAGGAAAACAAAAAATTTAATGAGAAATAGTTGTCACAACATCTACAGCCAGTGGCTGGTCAACACATAGTTCATATTACAACGAATTACATAACATTTAAATTAGTAAAAAAAAAAAATGTGCACCTTATAACATAGTAAACATTTATCATCTCTCTTATCTGAAACAAAAGTGAATGAAATGTAGTGCTGAACATTAATAAGAGCAAAACAATGAACTTAATGTTGGGGAGTATAGTTTTAAACATTGAAGCTGAATATCAATGTAAACCTCATATCTGCCCAACACATTTTGCATCACCTTCTTCATGCTCTTATGAATTAATGTTTAAGTTACTTTGCATCACATGTAAATAGTGCTTAAACTGTGCAATATATGTGAATTTAATCCCAGAAAGTACATTCCTCCTTTTCCCTATTTGCAATACTTCTGGCTCCCATCTTATCCAAGTTCCTTCTTGGGATAAATACTGAGTAGTAGGGAAGTTGTGCCTCTGTCCAATCTATCTATCTTCTATCTCTGTTCCTGATGCTCCCACTTGGAGCTTAAGGCATCTGTGAAAAGCTTCATTTCAGTTCAGTTTCTTAATCTTAGATGGTCAGCAGGACTCCTCAGATGAGGGATCAGCCTGTCGCAAGTTCACTACCTACATACAAACAGAATAAATGCTAAACATCCATGCCTTGAGTGGGATTCAAATCCACGACCCCAGTGTTTGAACGAGCGAAGACATTACATGCCTTAGACTGTGCGGCCACTGTCATTGGCCAACTGTCCAATTGGAAGTAAAAACAGACAATGCAATTTTCAGTGTTTACTAAAAATTAAAGTAACTGTCATGGAAGTAATGCTTATAAGGTAATTATAAAAGCCTTGATCTCTGAACTTTAAATTCTGCAATCGCCATATGAAAATATAAAATTCATTTGCTTATAAAACACAAAAGTCTATACTGCTACTGAGAATGCCTTCATTCTCAGCAACAGTTAATGAGAACCAGCTAACACGACTCATACAGAGCTGGAAAATACATGCGCACACATGGGGTGGAGTGGTGGAAGACCATGATGGACCTTCGGGCACACTCAAGTTACTATTATTCATTACATAGATGGATCTATGGTAGGTGTCAGGAAAGTGACTGAGAATGGTTTTGATTTTCCACATGGACAATGATTTTTCTTTTCCTTTGCAAAAACATTCAGACTCCTATTCCACATAAAGGCAACTGAGAATGAAGATCTCTGACCTCCATCTAATGCCAAGGCTGATGGCTGGTGTTTTCTCTAACCCGTATTTCTTCTGTCCTTAGCTACAAGAAGGTCCAATGTGCTGCTAATGAATATCTCATCGGAAGTCACTGCTGCAAGCATCTGATCTATGTTGTCATCTAACCTGCATATGCTTACTTTACTGATTAAGCTGGCAATGGCAGAGAACTTTCATATTTAATAAGCCAAGATTATCTCTGTACTCTGTCACTGTCCCTGTTTTGTCTGACCCAACATACTAATTCTCACCTCATAACATGACCTATAAAGCCTCAAATCTTACATGACCTATATAGTTCACTGCTGCACTGCCCAATAATCTGAACCCCTTGTGTTATCTCCTCTAACTAGAACATACAACTCCTTATACGAATCATCAGCCAATACACCTTTATAGATTATGAATTAATCTGCATACATTTGGATGCTAGTCACTCTCTTTAAAGAGCACACGAGACATTTCCTTTTTGTCTGTCTTTTCTTTTTCTTGTAGGAATGCTGTTAAGAAACAGGCATGACTAGAGTTGTAGAATTGAACCACACTGAATGAGTCACTTATCGCAAAATTTACAATAAACTGAAATCACATTTCATGTAGATACATGCCAAAATTTTCAACATTTTACAATTGAAACATTCAGTGAAATGATTCACTGGTGTTAAACCAGGTCTGTGTGTGTAAAGGGACTACAGCTCCCATATGTCTTTCTGGTTTTGCCCATTTTAAGGCTTCTTTTCATCCGCTGGAGATAATTAAGGAGTGGAGTTTATCTCATTTTTACAACTCTAATAAATATAATGAAATTTTGTAAAAAATACATTTAGTATAGTAATATTTACAAATAAAAAATAATCTAAAATTAATCTCACAAAGACATGCATGACATGTTGTAAAATGAAGTAAATTTCAGTTATGTGTACTCTATATAGACTACTTTCATTGACACATAAATATATATGTGCATATCACCAAAGATCAGACAATGTAATATGGCAATGAGTATTATGCCAGTAGAGATTTCTCACCCACTTAATCCATATATTGAACTAGGCATCCTATATTTGTGTTCTTTGCGGATGAGAAAGTAAAATATTTGATCTCTTTTCTGTTCTGTCAGTGACATCAGCATGATCATATTGGACTGAATTGACACTTTCTTCAAACTGGACTCCTGTGTTCCTGGATTTATTGTATAATTATGATGATTGTTTGAATGAATGAATGAATGAATGCTGTGACTGAATGTGAAGGATTTCTGACGAGTTGCCTTACTATGTCAGTGTAATAACAGACAAATGCAGTTCTAACAAGCTGAAATGGGAATGTATATCTTCAGCTTGTTCATCACTGAACACATTTTCAATAACAAAAAACAAATACACAGGACACAGTTTGTCTGCTCATTCATTCTGATCACTTAAAACACGACTGACATAACCTATGCAGCAGCATCTTCATCAGCAAGGGATGAACGGCAGAGAATAAGAACTGAAGACATGTCAGACTTCCAAATGTTTTGGTGGAGGATGGATAATAAACGGTTCGCTCCACATTCTTCTTAAGTCACCCTGAAATCACATATAGAACTAAATGTTCAACACATCACATAACATATGAATGCAATGTGTCCTGAAGAATTACTGGAGGTATTCTAAAAATGAAAGCATATGGATCATGTAATAATGAAAGGTATGTGAAGGATTTAAAAGACACAGCCTGAGTATTATGTAACAAGGTTGATAAACACTGTTCAGTTTCATATATATTAAGGATCTTAACAAAGTTGGCTGTGTAACTGTTTTATGTAAAGCTATGGGTAACTGTCTTAGAAATTCAGTATGGGATAGAAAAGGAAAGAAGCTTAACTATAGTATTACTATACACAGAATTCTGTAACAATTTCCACCAGCAGAAATTGTATGTGAATGGAGGCATTTACAGTGATGCATGACTACTCATTTGAAAGTTGAAACTCTGATATGGAGAAGAATGAAAGTTTTGTCATAATACTTATGAAAGCCGGTAAATTTCAATACTGTGGGAGTGTTGACATGTACAAACCTGTTTTACTGATCTGCACAGAAGTTACCCATGTAGGTAAAGGATATGTTAACAGTCTTTTGTTTCAACATATTTTTTGTACTGATTATATTTCAATATGGATATGAAATATCATGAAATGTGAATTACATTATAAAGATGTGGAAGATATGTTCTTTTCAAATGAGGCCAAATGTTCAGCCAGACCAGTCCAGTAAAACTGTGCAAGAGAGAGCTCTAACCCAAGTAGATGCTCAATGTGTACATATGATGATAGTATTGTGATGTGTTACAGTATGTCCATCGCTGCACAAAGGCTAGAATGGCAACACATACGAAGGGGGACCCAAAAATAACTGGAACCGACCCGTTGCGCGCGCATACTTTGTAGTTACGAGTTGTGCTGCTAGGTGGTGTTAGCTGGGGGTCTCCCGCGACTGTTAGTGAGCTGGCGTCAGTCTGAGTTAAGTGGTTTGTCTGTGGTGCTCTGTTGTGTGCGTTCCTGTTTCAACCCTTTGGCGATTAGTGAGATGGCCGACCAGAAGGAACAAAGAGTGTGCGTGAAATTTTGCTTTCTGTTAGGGAAAACTGCAGCCGAGACTTCAGTAATCCCTATTCATGTATACGAGTATCTGTTAATTTCAAAAAAAGTTCAGCAACAAGATTTACTACAGTGTGCATACAATGTGATTAGTGCTAGGAAGTAAACACAAATATATGACTCAAAATCAGATGGGAAATCTTTCTTAATTCTGAGTCTGCAGAATGTGAAATTTGGTAAGTTCTAATCTGTCAATACTGTTAGAACTTCATGGCTGATATGGTTGACATAATTACTTTTGGGCATGATACAGCTTTAAAGCAATTATTACTTTATTAATACAATGTACTGAATCCAAACATATCCTTAATTTGTGAGGCTATCTTTATAAGCTGGTATGGATTGGCTTCAACTGGCTGAGGATAGGGACCTGTGGAGAGCTCTTGTGAACATGGTAATGAAACTTCAAATTCCACAAAATGTTGGGAAATTCTTGAGTAGTTGAATTAACAGTGATTTTTACCAAAATATGGATAAGTTAAAGTATCACTTATTACAACAAACCATGAAGTTTCACTTCATCACCTATGTGATTCAGTTCTTAGCTGTATATGTATTTTTAGAGTAAGAAATGACTTTCTCTGATATTACATAGGCCTGTAACAAATATGATCCCTGTGTCATCAATTTCCCATTAATTTCAATGGGCTGTTCTTTCACATTATATACTCCATGTCAAAACAAAAGTACAGTGGAAAACTGTGTAAACAAACTTTGTAGGAGTAGGAATATGAAGGGCAGTCAAAAAGTTCTCGGAATGGTGCTATTTCACTGTAATGATAGGACATATGGCAACACTCCCTAATCACCTTCAAAGTAGGACCCTTGCACATACACACATTTGCTCCATTGATCCTGCCATTGCTGGAAGCACCGATGGAAGGCTTCTTTTAGAATCTTCTGGAGTTCAGCCATCACATTTGATTTGATGTCCTCCATGGTTGTGAAATGGGTCCCCTTGAGGCCCATTTCCAGTGCAGGGAACAGCCAAAGGTCACTTGGAGCGAGATCTGGAGAGTACAGTGGTTGGGTGATGACAGGAATGTTTTTCTTGGCGAGGAATTGTTGCACAACAAGCGATGTGTGACTCAGCGTGTTATTGTGATGCAGAAACCACTGTCCCTGCCACTTGCTGCGCCGCTTCCTCCATACTGCATTGTGTAACCTCTGCAAAACTTGCATGTAGAAATGATTTGTAACACCCTATCCAGATGGTATGAACTCATGGTGCCCTGAACAGTCAATGTCAAAGAATGCATTGAGCATCACTTTTCCCTTGGATATGACGAGGTGTGATTTCTGTGGTTGGGGAGATGACGCCGTGTGCCACTCTGATGACTGCATCTTCATCTCCGGGTCATAGGCAAACACCAGTGATGATCTTTTTGAGAAACATCGGGTTCTGTGTACTTTTCTCAAACAGATATCCAGCTACCATCATGTGACATTCCTTCCGATTCATGGTCAGCTGCCTTGGAATGAACTTTGCACTGACACGTCTCATCTTCAAATCCTCAGACAGAATCACATGAATGGATCTGTGAGAGGTACCAACTTCTTGCTCCAACTCTGTGATAGTTGTTCATTGATCAGATTGAATCAGTTGTTGCACTTTTTCAATCATTTCTTCAGTTCTGGATGTTGAAGGCCTCCCTCTGTGCTGATCATCCTCCAACATTTCCTGTCCATTCTTAAATGGGGGGAACCATTTGTAAACTGCAGATTTCTTTAGTGCAGATTCACTGTAAACTTGCAGGGCCAATAGCATCTCTGGATTAAATTTTCCCAATTTGCACATGAATTTGATGTTTGCACATTTTCTGAATTCAAACATTGTGCCAAATGACCAACAATCACGTCTAACTCAAAATAGTAACGACACTGCACACTGAAACCTGTCTAGAACTGTTACACCTGCAAGCAGACATGCTGAGCTCCCCACCAAAACAATGCATGCACTATCTTATCTCTCATTCTCTGTATGCCGGAGAATTCTGGGAACTTTTTGACTGCCCATTGTAGTACCATTAATAAGGTGACTGACTAGTCTGGATGATCAGGGTTCAACTGTCAACAGAGACAGGAGTGTTCTCTTTGCCGCCCCATCCAAATTGGGACTGAAGTCCAACCAATTTTCAAGCCTGTGGATAATTGGGTTTCTTCTGCAGGCTGACATCAATATAGTGCCAAGGTTAAGAATATGTGGAGCTTACTTATATTCACCAATATTTAAAAAATAATAAAAAAATAAAAGCAAGACAGTTTGTTTCACAAGAGTCCGGGTGAAGGAACCACTAAATTATTCGTTACGGGACATAGTAATTCTGGAAGTAAGCAGTTGTAAATACTTGGGAATAATTTTACACAGTGATTCAAGTTGGGCTGAAAAAAAGCCTGGAAGGCTCTTCATTTTACAATGCATATTCTTAAAAAGGGAAATAGTAACACTAAAAATTTAGCCTATACATCACTACTGCATCTGATTCTTGAATATGGGGTGGGTTGCTGGGTATTTATAGGAAGGGACAGATAAATGCACTCTCTTCCAAGCGTACATGGGAGAACAGGTTTGGAAGGCTATAGGTGATAGATTACAAAGAGCAGGGTCATTCATGATAAGTAAATTAGGAGTAGAAAGCAATAAGACATATTAGAAAATATTCCTTTGTAAATAGCATCATCAAGCTATGGAAACAACTACCTGCAGATGTTTTAGGGACTCTCCTGTAAATGAAGCAATTTTAGGAAAAGGGTTTGGAAAGTGATAAATGAGGTGAAGTGAAGGTGTAGGGGCAATCATAAAAAATGCAGTGAAGGGAAGTGTAGTGAAGTGGAATGAAGGGAGGTCATGGTGAAATGTGGGTGCATCAGATCATGACATTATATATTTAAATACTATCACTGTTTAGTGTATAAAGTAAAAGTAAGTAAAGCTATCCCTGTACCAGGCCGTGAAGGCCCATAGGGTTGTGAGACGTTGAGGGTCCCACATTATCTCTAGACACTATCTAGTGTCTAGTATACTTATTTATTTTGTTAATATTAATTTATTTAATTGTATTTGTTGTAGTTGTAATTGTATTTGCAGTATATTCATTGTGTGTAGTTTTGTGTGCTGTTTGGAGAGTGGTGTGTGTTGTTTGTGTGTTGCATCTTATTGTAGTACCACTGCCTCTGGGAAGAATCCATTTGCAGTTTAAATAAATAAATTATGATGATGGTGGTAATGATGACAACAACAACAATAATAATAATAGTGTTACATGTATTAGTGACTACAGATGGGATTCAGATTGGTAACTCGGTTTATTAGATCTTCACTAGTCATAACTACACCTAATTATTACACTATTGTGGGTTTACACAATTTACAAGCATTACACGCTAATCTTCTGTCTATCTGCACGGGTTTTCATGTATTTATAACATGGGAGCTATACAAGTCTCACTGGATCACACACTCCCAGTATTACACACAAAAACAACCTTCAAATCACACTTCAAGCTTTCACAGGTTTTCTACAAACTTCCCGTGAATGTCTCCTACTGAGAACTCTCTGTCACTTAAACAATTAAATACGGTCAAATACTCTCAAGTACTGAAATCTGTTCTGTCTCTGTTTTTATACAGACTTCACACTGATCACACAGAAAACAGCCTATATTGTTGCAGAGAAGTGTTTACTACAACATTGCATAGCAGCAGCTGTGGCGCCAACTGCATAGAAAATGCCGCACGTTTACTGTTGCCTTGCACGTATTTGGTCATGAGGTGTTTAATGGTCAGTTACCTTGCAATGCTCTGGCCATCCACGCTGAGTGCACTTACCTGACTGAAGGTTGTTTACAGGTTGTTGCCTAGAAATGCTGTCCATCCACGTTATGACAATGACAATATGTCCTTATTGCATATGGACAATTTTACTTTTTAGCTTTAAACAGATTTCTGTTTTGTTTTGCTGCCATTTTCCTAAGTAGTAGTATGGCTGTATACAGTAAGTTGCTCCATTTCATTATATGCTCACCTTCAAGTAGGCCATAGTGAGAAGGGGCAGCAACGTGAAGGGTACCAAGTATAATAATGCTGGCTGCGCTGCTTTGAACACCTCTGACGAGACAGTTGCTGTCAGCAGGCCTAAGAAGTATCCAATTAGAGAGCAGTGGAAGTAGCTGTGGATGATTGAGAGTTTGTACAAATGTTCCATGTTAAAAGCTATTAATACTTATAATGCTGTAACAGTAAAACACTACAACAGACAACTGAAGGATAAGCTATACTATGTGAGTGACAATCCATCACACATTTAATAAACAGCATTCAAGTTCCTTAACATTAAACATGATGGTTTGAAAACTGTCTAAAGGGAAAACATAATATTGCAGTGTAAAGTGAATACATCACATAAAGACAAAGAGTACTTATTTGTTTCATCTTCATTATCATCCTCATTCCTAGATAATTTACATGTATTACAACATGGAAGCTTCCTCAATTAATCCTTTCTTCAGGAATGACATTTTACAATTTTATTTGGGATGCCCTCAGTTTCTTCTAGTGTTATATAGGGGGATAATTTGCAGGCTGCACTATAACGGGGCTTTTCCACAGTGCAACCACTGCACTGTTTTCCATCTACTCTGAGTCAGCAAAGGTGACAACATAAGTTGATAATTTTTCATGACACTTAATTGTGCGTTTGTGCTAGGTTTCCTTTGTGTAGGATGCAGGTAAATTTACACTGGAGCACTGTGATGTGAAGTGTAACTTTCTTAGGAAGATAAGAAGAAAATTCAAAAGAAAACTGCTTATAGTTCCCTAAAGAAACTGCATAGATAGGAATAACAAAATGGTCAGTGAGAACCAGTACAAAACTATGGCTTACACATCGACAGCTGTGCTTTCTTTGCTGTCACATGATCCAGTAACCAGACTTCATTTCTGTAACTGGTCAATCAGTTCAAGATGGCAAGTGTGATTCAAATGACTTGGTATTATTTCAATGAAAACATATAAGAGTGAAGTGCAGAAAATCTTAATTTTACACATAAATTCTGCTCCATGATGTAAAAATATGGTTTTTGGTGCACTCTGAGTGTAAGGAGGATGAATTACCGACCATGTGTTTCATACAAAAAAAAAATTAATTCTGATAGCATTTCCAGCACATGCTGCTGAAACTTTTCATGGCAATCCTGAATGGAATGTTTGGAGAAAGGTTTATAAGTAATGGTGTAGGACATAATTCTCCTGACATTCCTCAGCAGGATTTCTTCATGTGGCTATTTGTAAAAGATAGTCTATCAAACCCATATGGAAGGACTCATATATGGCTTGAAGTGTCCCATATATTTAGGTAACAGCTACAGTGTATGAGCTAGAATTTGGGGACAATTTTCAGCATCACCTGTAACATGGGCCTATAAACTTTGCTATACAATGATGTTGCACTTTTAGTATGACCACAGCTGACCGAGCAGGAATCAATGTGGTCAGCACTGTATTAAGGTATAATAGAAAAGCCATGCATGTCTCAACTCACAGTCTCCCTGTACAGACATGTAATTCTGTCATTACCTCCTGAAGTTATATGGTGGCAAAGAAAGAGATTTAAAAATGTTAATTTACTTCTAAAGCAACATAGTGGTTTAAAAATTTAGATTATGATACAGTTCACTGCTTTTATGAATTCGGAACTTTGTCTCCTTCATAAAATACGGTATTTACGCATGTATAGGCTGCGTGCGTGTATAGGCCACAGCACAATTTTCCCGACACATACCAGGAGAAACTGCTTGCATTTCAAAAATATGTCCTGAAATTAAGAAAGACGCACAACTACACCATGGGAGCTATTGGAAATGTTGATGAAACTCCTGTGTTCTTTGAAATACCGGGTGAAAGTACAGTGAACAAAGCAGGTGAAAAAACAGTGCATGTGCAGACTGCAGGAGCAGAAAAGCAGTGGTGTACCGTAATGCTTGGTATCACTGTTGATGGAAACAAACTACCACCATTTGTAATCTTCAAACGCAAAACACTGCTGAAAGAAAAGCTTCCACCGGGAATTTTGGTGAGTTCAAGAAAAAGTATGGATGACAGAAGAGCTCTATCTGGATTGGTTGAAATCGGTGTGGTTTCGGCGCCCAGGCACACTTTTACGTCAGCGGTCAATGTTAGTGGTTGACAGTTTTCGAAGCCATTTAACTGAAAATGTGAAAGTGAAGATGAGGCAGGAGAAAAGTGATATGGTTGTGATACCAGGGGGGATGACTGGCATGTTACAACCACTTGACATGTCAATAAACCGTCCTTTCAAGTCTCATTTGCGGCGCTTTTACCGGGACTGGAGATGTGGTTCCACAGAGATGATGCCAACTGGACGATTGAAGAAACCTTCATTAAGTCAAATGTGTGAGTGGATTGTGGCTGCATGGAACACCATACCAGAAGAAATGGTTTCCAAAAGTTTTAAAGTCACATCCATTTCCAACGCAATGGACGGGACTGAAGATGACGCTGTATGGCTGACATCACCTGACAGCGAAACTTCGAGCGAGAGCGACATCGACAGTAACGAGTCAAGTGATGAACAGTAATATGGTTCAATTACCGTGGACCAACTTCAGAAAGTGTCGCATAATTTATTCATGCGATGCGAAGCATGTTTGCAAGCAGAAGGGGGTCACTTTCAGCACCTGTTATAAAGCACGGTAAGTTTGTGTTATCTTTTTACAGTATTCTTATAAATGTGTGCATGTACAGAAACTGATGTAAGGGTATCAGCGACACGACTGCACTCTCGCTAGCGGGGAGGGGCACGGTAGTCGCGGAGAAACATTCCATCCGCTCTACGCTGCTGCCCTGGTTTCCTCGATCGTAGAACACCCTGTATTACTAATTATGAATATAATTTTTTTTAAATGAAGTGTGATTTCGAATATAAGCCGCACCCCAGTTTTCCTCTTGAATTTTTGGCAAAAAATGTGCGGCCTATACATGCGTAAATACGGTATCCTAGGCATTTAAAAGTGTATGAGCATTTTTCAATATTTTCCTAAAAAATTTTACATCTTCCAATATGATGGTGTGAAGTATTGATACAGACAGGCTCTCAATGAATCTGACAGCACTGCACATATACTATATACACTGCTGGTAGGCCTTACCTACAATTAGTTTGAAAAGGAACAGATTTTAGCTGGCAATCACAAAGGAAAGGCTATGGAATTAGTGGTTAGTTCCAGTAGGTAAGGGAGAAGGCAGGACATATCTTCTACTGTACATCCATACCAGCATACACGAGCCACATATCAGTGAAGATGAAATGCACAATTCATGACCACATACAGAATGTCCCAGGTGTTTGGTGCCACACTTCAGGAGCATACAGAGGGTTTCCTATTGAACAACTTTGAAATAGGAACCCATGTCCGCAAACATAAAATAGCAGTGCTAGAGTGGCATTTAATATCATTTTGTTTAAACTTGGTGCCTCAATGTTGAAGAGCATGCACAGGCATAGTACCCCCTCTGAACTCTTAAGACTCACATGCGAGAATAGATGTTGGAACTGGCGCCCTCCATTTTTAATGCATGCGTTACATTGATGAAAGAAACTTTGGCGCACCCTTTCAAATATTCCAGGTGTCTCAGGGATCATGTCACATGCAACAAGTATTGTAGCCAGCAGCTCGAATTCATTATCCACAGGCGTGTCGTAGATTAGGCTTTTCACATGGCCCCAGACAAAATAGTCCAGAGGTGTCAAGTCTGGGGATCGGGGTGGCCAAGGCACTGGGCCTCCTCTTACTATCCAACGACCATGAAAAGCAGCACCCAGGTAGTCTCGTCATACAATGCTGAAGTGTGCCAACACTCCATCATGCTGTATCCACATTTGCCGCCACACAATCAGTGGCACGTCTTCTAGCAAAGTTGGAAGGATATGTTCCAGGAACACCTTGTAAAAGGGGCCATTGAGTCGTGGTGGTAGGAAGAAAGGTCCAGTCAAGTGATCGCCAATGATGTCCGCCCAGACACTGACAGAAAATTGCGTCTGGTGGTAAACAACTACAGTAACGTTGGGATTTTCGTTAGCCCAAATATGGCTGTTTCGACAGTTGAACCAGCCATCCCTTGTAAACTGCCCTTCTCCTGTGAATAACATGTGATTCAGGAAGTTGGGCTGATGTAAACACTGGTTCAGTATCCACTGAAAAATTGAACTAGTGGTGCGAAGTCAGCTGGACCTATGTTGTGTACTCACATTGGATGATACGGATAAAGTTGTTGGTTGTGCTGGATCCTCCAAACACTTGATTCTGATGTCCCCACAATCTTGGCAATGGCACGAGCGCTGGTGGATGGCTGTTCCTCTATGTTCGACATTGAGACGCCAAGTTTAAACGAAATGATTTTAAATGCCACCCTAGCGCTACTTTGTTTGTGGACATGGGTTCCTATTTCAAAGTTATTCTATAGAGAACCCTCAGTACGCTCCTGAAGTATGGCACCAAACTCCTGGGACACCCTGTATATGAAGAATGAAGGGCTACAAATTGTTACTAATCATTGTTAGGGAAGATATATTAAAAATGTTTCACACCTATGTATTTTCATGCTTGGGGAGATTAATCAATATTCTTCAATCCAGTATACCTGAGCTTGTTGAAATGCTTTGGTGGAGGAACGCCAGTTTCTCCAAGATGCAGTAGCTGCGATTTTTTGTAGGCATCGTAACGGAGGACAAAACAAAGTAGCAACCCAGGCATGACTATATCACCCAGACCCAGCATTGAAAAGTGTCCTGAGTTGTGGATACTAGGAAACACAAGTTTGCCTGGCAATGAAAGTTTAGGGGCCTCCTTTACAACACCACCCAGGTGAAGCTTTCTAGCCACTAAGCCCACAGGGTTCTCTGCTGGCCGAGTTGCCACCTGAATGAGAACAATGCAAAGAAAGGGAAAAAAACTTTCATGAGTACAGCATTAAAACTAAAATCTATGGTAAATGTGGGGCCTAACATATGCAATATTGTATTGGAGCATCATGTTGTGTTTTCGAATCAATAGCTATAAGGGGTTCCATCAACATAATTTGTATACTATTATGTAAATTGTATACAAGTTCATACTGCATAATTTTTCAACCTATCTGGCCATCATCAAGCTATTTAAATAAATCATCACTTAGTGTTTATGGGAGCTGGGATAGTGTAGTCAGTATAGCGATTAGCTATGGGCTGGATGACAGAGGGGTTGGAGTTCAAGTCTCGCTAGGGTCAAGGGTCAAGGATCTCTTCTCCACATCGTCCAAACTGACTCTGGGGTCCCTCCAACCTATTATCCAATGGATACCAGGGGCTCTTTCCCCGGGGGGGGGGTTAAAGTGGCCAGGGTGTGAAGCTGACCACTCACCTCCAGCTAGTGCTGAGGTTAAGAAAATGTGGATCTATACAGCCACTCTCCCATACATCTTCATGGTGTAGTCCTTAATTAATTAAGAACAAGGACAAGGCTACCTTAATGTTTACAATCTATGAACTTACATCAATAGCACAATTATTACGTGGACTGGGTTAACTGTGTTGATTATGAAGAAAGCAGTCTTCTGGGATTTGGCACCGTGTATATGTGGTGTTAACCGACGTTTCGGAGGAACGTATCGCCCCCATCTTCAGGGTAGAAGAAAAAGTATAAGAAATCTGCAAGCGACAACACCGTGAGAAACGGTAAAGCAGACTCACGGTGTTGTCGCTTGCAGATTTCTTATACTTTTTCTTCTACCCTGAAGATGGGGGCGATACGTTCCTCCGAAACGTCGGTTAACACCACATATACACGGTGCCAAATCCCAGAAGACTGCTTTCTTCATAGTCACCGCCGTGAAAGCCTCAAATCTTACATTGTGTTGATTATGTTGATACTGCTGCACCATACTGAATGTTAAAAGTGTTGCTGAAGCTTACAATGCTAAATTGTCTGAAACGTTTTACAGGTTTTTAGGGATTTCGCTGCTGATTTACTTAAAATATGAGCACAAGGTATAGAAATTAATCAGTATTCTTACAGTACTCTTGTGATCTTCATGTATTTTTAGATAAACCCTGAAGTAGAAAGCATGAAAATCCTTAAGTGAGCTCACAGACCAAAACTCCAGTATAAAGAATTTACTTTGTTGCACAACTGGTTTTCAGATCTGTAAATTTAACTGAAAATTTCAGCTTAGATTTTATTGAAATCTACCATCAGAGGAATGCACTTCTGTACTTTTGGAATTCCAAAGGATCCATCTACAAAACAGTTTGGAAGAGACATGCATTGCACCACACAAAATTAAAACATCTTCCATTTCGTTCATGGTTCTACTACAATACAGTAGAAAGTAACACTGTACCTTACCTTGACCATAACGTTGGTATTGAAGATATAGGAGGAGAAGAATACCCAGAATACATCATAAATAAGAAGTCCAGTCAGCAATAACGTTGACACTTTGAGACTTGGAAGGCGCACAAAGGCAATAAAAGCCACACACAGACCCATTCCCATTGCTAACAAACAAAACAAATTACATTTAGGTCCAAGAGTGGCGCACTGTTAATCATACAACTTTTCCACCATTAATTATAACTGAACTCTTGAACTGAAATAATGAAGGAAAAATAAGTTTTCACTGCATTTGTAAGAGTTCTGCTTACACATAAAAAACTGCTTTTGACAATTTGTTTAAACTTTACAATGTCATGTAATTCTCTTAGCTTTCTTAAGTTAATTTCTTATTCATGAAGAATATAACATTTTACACATAATTCTAAGTGTAAAAAAAAAGATTCAATTCTTTTCCCAATCTGTCATTCTACTTTTGAAATAAAACTGCTTCCTACAAATGGACTGAAAGCAGGAGAAAACTATCACTGCTGGTCCTCAATATTACCAGTATTAGCAGCAACAGAATTTACAGTATATTTCAAGTCTGTCCCTAATCCTATTGTAGTTCTGCAACAAGAACCCAAGGATAACCTGCTGTCCAATATTGACTGAAGTGTGGTTTATCATCATCATCATCATCAGTAATCTGTCAGGCGACAGGTCCACAGTCTCTTCCAAAACAGTTTCTCCACTTAATGCGATCTTATATTAAGACTGAAATATTTTATTTTGAGAACAGGAACCTATTATATATAAAATTACCGTATTTACGCATGTATAGGCCGCACATTTTTTGCCAAAAATTCAAGAGGAAAACTGGGGTGCGGCTTATATTCGAAATATTCGAAATCACACTTCATTTAAAAAAATTATATTCATAATTAGTAATACAGGGTGTAATACTCCTGAAATAATATTCCAAGAAAATTATTTTTTCTATAATTTGTCTGAAAATTGTGCTGCGGCCTATACATGCGTAAATACGGTATTTCATAACTTACCATCCATTAGTAACCAATGGCCAGTCAGAACCCATATACATACAATGAAAACAGCTAATGAAAAGGAGAGAAGTTCTGCTCCGGTGAATCGTCCACACATCCCAAATGAGATCCTGAAAATAAACACACATTAAGAGGTATTTAGATTAATCTGAGTGCCGGTATTTCTGGAGCATATATCATACCATGAGGTAGTGGTACAGGAACACGTCATTGATATTTTACCATATAACTGACCAACTCTGAACATCAGTTTTTTGTAAGATGTGGAACCAGCTTTCAATGAGAATATAAAATACTGAACAGAAACACCCCTAAACTAATACAGTGTATAGATTTGTTGTTAAGCTTTGGATCTGTAAACAGATGCCATTGTTAGGTAATGCCCACAATATATACGCATGCAATAAGAGAACAGGGTTATGCAACCCATTTCTAAGCAATGCATTGGTAAACACGCTTCTACAACAATAGATTTATTGTTTGAATCGGTGTTTTCTATTCAGTCCGTGCAAACTGGTTATAAAGAAGAGAACTGGGGCAACCAGTTCAGTTCAGCTCTGTAAGGTAGGTTGAGAAGAGAGGGTGATTCAGTTCAGTGGAGAGTTTGAAGTCTGGCTGTGAAACGAAGACTTTATGTGTGCTGTAGTTACAGTCAGACCATTATAAATACTGTGTTAAAATCAGATGCCACAAAATGACCAGTGAAGACTCAGAACACTTAGCATGTACTACTGATTTGTAAAGTGTGGAAATCTGAGAAAGCACTGTAATTACTTGTAGTTCCAAGTTATGTGTACAAGTCGTAAATAAAGCCATATGCCAATCCAATCCCCATCTATAGTCACCCCTAAATCATAATATTAAATTACAGAGCAGGTAAATATGGCAGAATATACCCAACTATACACAAAAAAAAATGGATGACTGAACTGATAAGGCTCTGTCATAAGACAACCACTCAGGCAGAAACACCACGTGTTGGATAAGTAGAAACACCTGCCAATGCACTTACACTACCTTAGAAATTCAGAGTATCACATTTATATGAAGAGTAGGTTGGGCTCAAATATTTGTCAAAGGAAGCTTATGTAGTTTCATTTTAATGCAGTCAACTAATTTAAAACAATTTTAATTATTAGCACTCGATTTAATGGCAATCACTTGCTGGCTGATTGAGAGAGCTTATTGTGTGGATTAGCGAAGCAGAAATGCAAGGGGAGAAGGGAGAATTATGTTCAATTTATGCAATTTCACCCTCTGATTTTATTTTTGGAACATAACTATCACATAAATCGAGGAACAGCCATATGTAAATTATCTAGCGAGAGTGGATTTGAATAAAGGCAGAGGTAAAGTTGTTCTGTGCTAACTGAACAGCAGTTCATGCATTACATAATGCAAACTTCATACCAAGTGGGAAGGGCCTAGTAAAAATATGCATCAGTGTTCTCCACTCTTCTTCTGAGAAACCATTTTCAGTTGAAAGTCAGTTCAACAAGGATTCAAGTCCACTGAGTATCTTGCTGTATTCATAGCAGTCCTCCAGCTACATGTGGATAAGATAATAAAATACTCTCACCAACAGTCGAACACCAATGATGGGAGTTGTGATGAAGGCATATATGGGGTATGGAGGAAGTGCTCCACACATTCTTAATATTATGACAAAAATACGGCACACTTGGATCAACATTTATTGTCCTACTACTTCCTTCAAACTGGGGGCACACAGTAGTGTAGTGGGTTGAGGCACTATGCTACAAGTCGGGAGGTCACAGGTCTGATTCCCAATGAAGCCACTGGATTTTCCAATTCACCTAATCCTTCCAGCAGCACTATGGCCCTGGGTTTGACCCAGCCTCGATGGTCAGGAATTTTCCTGGGGTTAAAGGGGTGGCCAGGCCGGAGTGTAAGGCTGATGACCCCACCACCATCTGTGAACCAACTGTCCAGAAAATGTGGGAGTCTAAACATCTCACAAGCCTATGGGTCTTCACAGCCCGTTACAGGAATAGCTTTATCTTTTTTTTTTACTTCCTTCAAATTACTGTCACAGCGACTATAGGTGGGGTTTGGATTGGAAATTGGATTAACTAAACTCTTACAGAACATAACTACAAACAACTATGGGGCTAAAGCTATTTCGCACACACTGCAGTTCACTACAGCACATATGAAGTCTTTTCAGTCTGCTATATCTTCACCAGTTGTTGCCTGGTAATGAATTCCAATGCTGTAGCTTCCTCAGCTTCTATGTTCACATCGCTACTGGCTGGCAACTGTCTCACAACTCACTCATTGCTCCAACTAAGTAACTTCCAGGCTGGCAGCAATCTCACACCAACCTCCTACTCTTCTCACTGCCATCTCAAAACTCTCTTGTAATTGCAGCTACTACTCATTATATAGCCTAGGCATGAACCGAATAGAAAACATCTCTCTCTCACAATTTTTTCTACTGTTGCATCATGCAGCTATTGAATGAACTGCTTACAGAACACCGCTTCCCAGTTACTCCACTGCTGTGTGATACAAATCTGTTGCGGTCATTACCTACCAATGACAACTGTTTACAGAGCCATTGTCTAGCACTGGCTCTTTTACAGCTGCTTATTTTGTGGTCATTCCCTAGCAACAGGTTTACATGCCACATATAGCGGTGTTCTCATATTAGGCCAAAAAAGAAATGCTGGCTTAATTTACTCAATTTTGGCTGAAATCTTCAAAATAGTCTCCTTGGGAAAGCATACAGCAATCCCATCCTTTTTTTATGCTTCAAAAGCACTGCAGAAGTCATTTTCCTTAATGCTGTTGAGTACCTCTTGTGATTCCCTTTTGATGTCAGACATTGTTTCAAAACATTGTCCCTTCAGTTTCATTTTCAATTTTGGGAAAAAAGTGAAATCACAGGGGCCTAAGTCTAGTTAGTAGGGAGGATGGGGAACGATAACCATGTTGTTGTTAAGTCACAAACTCTGTGGTTTTCGGGGACATGTGGGCTGGCACGTTGTCATGATGGTGGAGCCAGTTGTGGTTGTGCCAAAGTTATGGTCTTTTCATTATATATTTTCTCTCAAGCATCACAAAATGTCACAGTAAAAGTTGACCATAGTGTTAGGAGGAAGAAATTCATGGTGAACAATCCCCTTCACATAAAAAACAATGAGCATGCTCTTTGTTGAACTCTGAACCTGCTGTACATTTTCTGCTCTTAGTGATTGTGAGCTCTTCTGCTGTAACAACTGTTGCATTGTTTGTGAATCATAACCATAAATCCAATATTCATCACCCATTATGATCCTAGAGATATGAGTAAAAGTTGTGCCCTTGTTAAGCTTCTCTCATAGCTCAAGACACATGTTTACGCCCTGCTGCTTTTGATCATTTTTCTAGATTCAGGGAACAAATTTCATGGCAATGCAGCGCATGTTCAAATTTTCTGTTAACATCTCCTGGCAAACTCCATAACTGATCCCAAAGGTGTCTGTAAGCTCAAGGATTGCTGACTGACAGTTTTCATGGATGAGTTCTCCCTAAGGCTTCGCTTAGTGGGGGTGGAGTCCAACTGGGTCCACTCAGCACAGAGGCCACTGATTGGCCTATTGTAGCCTGCCCTGGCTGATTATGAGGATGGAGAATTTGGTGGAATGAAGATTGACAGGGGAAACCAAAGTACTCAGAGAAAACCCGCCCCAGCGCCACTTTGTCCACCACAAATCCCACTTGATCCGACCCGGGATCAAACCCGGGCCGCTGCAGTGGGAAACCAGCGACTAACTGCTTGAGCTATGGCATGGCCAGCCTACGGCTTGGTTCAATGTTAAATTTTAGAGCAGATTCTTTAGTGGCAGCCTTAAGACACGCTGTAGCATTGAAAGATGTGTGACCCTGGAGACTGCAAGGCACTTGGGGAGCCTATGAAGAGGAGGCAGCATTACAGTGGTTGTTGCTGAATAAACAGAACAGCTTGACAGATGATATAAATTTCAGCTGTACACATATTACTAAAGCGTGCAAGTGTTATGACAAAATGTTGTCTTATACATGATGGCACTTCCAGTTGATAGCCCACAAAGCAGTCCAGATAGGCAGAAATGAGCTAAGCAAAGAGCTGGTTATATGTATGGGCAGATGTTTCATCTCTCACATGTCCGATGAGCTGAAAGTGACAGGCGGGATATATAAGAGACCAAGGTGTGATATGAGTCACGTCTACTGGCAATAATACATGGCAAGCATATATCAAGCCATTCAAGAAGCTGGCGAAAGTGTACGCTCATAGGTTGAGATGCCTGGATATTCAACTCATACCTGGTGCAGGGGGTCAGGTGAAAGATAGTGCCATAAGATGATGGGCTTGCACAGAAAGCTTTGCCACCTAACTGTACAGATTCTGTCATAAACAGTGGAGGTTCCCTAGATTTGGCATACAGACTCTCCAGGAGGCTGGTATGGAAGGTACCAATGGCAAGACAACATCTAGGATGGATAGTCTGAACTTCACTGTAGAACTATAAACAAAGCTGCCACAGTCCATCTTAGGGTATGGTACTGCTGAAGCATCACCATCAGGTCCCTGCCCCACAACCTGTTAGATAAAACTCTTAAAATTTCTTTGCTGTGGAGAAGGAAAAGCCAATCTAGAAAGCCTAATGTAACAGAAAATTTATGTACTGTAGCTAGCGCTCTATTGTAACCAAGCTCTGGGAACTATAAGAAATGGCATCATCATCAACATACAGTAACACTGAAATGGCTGGAGCTACTGTGTTAACCATCCCATTAATGGTGAGTGCAAACAGGGTCAAACTTAAACGAAACCTTGCCTTGTGGCACTCCATTGTTTTTGTTGACAGAATGCAGAAAAAACATTGCCAAGACAAACATGGAAATGATGATCTTGAAGAAGGCCTGAGAGGGACAGTGACAGCTGACCCCTAAGATTCTACTGGTGAAGGGTCCTTAGGATAACCCATTGCCATGTTGCCTCATACACCTCCTCCAGCCGAAGAATACTGTGACAAAACGTTTGCACATGAAGGAAAAATATTGAATACAGTGCTCCAAGTTCACAAGATGGTCAAGAGTGGATATGAAGCATCAGAACGAACATCGAGCATTCAAAAGGAGAGTTCTGCTCTCCAGAGTCCAGACAAGTTGATGGTTTACCATATGATTCGAGGTTTTACAAACACAACTAGTCAGACTGACATGTCCATTACTAGTTATGTGGAAGTGATCCTTACCTGACTTCAGAATAGGGATAACTGGTGTTTCTCTCCAGGCAGCTGGGACCAAGTTCTCTGACCATATATGGCTGTACATGGACAGCAGAAACTCCTTGCCTGTAGGTGGAAGATGAGAGAGTATTAGGTTATGGATACCGTTGGGGCCTGGGGAAGTGCTGTGATAATGATCTAATGCTGTGAGCAGTTCATCCAGATTAAATGGTGCACTGCACAGCTTGGTGAGCTGAGATGTGAAGTTTAGCAGCAATGGTTCTGCTCTGTATTTAAAAGAAGGTTCATAATTATCAGAACTTGTAAGCACAATGAGACTGAAGTGTGTTGGCAATGTATACCCATAATGAAATAGTATCAAGGACAACTGATATGCCAGGTATGGAAGTATGACTGGATATACCTGATGTGCTGTAGTTTGTTCCATGCAACATCTGAAAGTGCAGACTGGGAAGGACTGGAAACAAAAGCCTCCCATTGTGTGCTCATGCCTTCATGAACTATATGCTGGGCCTTGGCATGGAGGCATTTGAATAAAACTAGGTCATCCTGTGTGGGGTGATTTCAGAATAGCTTCAGAACTCATTTATGAGTGCAAGTGGTGTTGCAACATTCATCTGCTCACCAAGGAACAGGCAGATGACACGATCTGGTGGATGACCCAGGAATGAAACATTATGTGGTTTGGACCACTGTGATCATAAATACTGTACCATGGAGCTGACCAATGCAAATTCTGTCTCTAAACGCCACCGGCTCATAGAAAGCATCCAAGTCAGCATATCTATGATCCAGTTTGGATTCCTGGACATAACTGGAGGTGATGTATAAATGTAGACTTATAGGTTAATAGTTGATACCATGTAAATCAGGAATGGTGGAGCATTCCAAACACTCTGCTAAACCTGGACAAAAGAAAGCAAGGTCTAGGCCCAACATCATTCCTGACCCAAGACAGAGGTGGATATGTAAACTAGTTTACCTTCTTTAAGGAATAATCCTCGGATTATCTTTCTGGTGTTGGAGCTACCAAGAAGAATAAACGGGAGAAAAGTGACATAAGAAACTGGTTAATTTGGTAGGAGGTACTGATACTGCTGGGGTACATAGACATTGCAAACAGTAAGCAGAGGAATGGGCAGATTTAAATGGGCTGAGGTTGCCTGTTGAGGAATTTGGATGCTTAGTGAAGTTGAGAAGACTAAGTTATCCATCCCTCAACTGGCCGTTTCACCATTTGACATCTCACTGTAGAAGGTGCAGCAGGAGGAAGAACATCTTCTGACTAGTGGACACACAGACTGGGTTGGAAGAGCGCCATGAAGTTGAGACGTCTGTGAAGTAAAGTTGCTATAGGATGGGATCGTTTAGGTTTCGATACCTGTATCAACACCCTAAGGGCAATGGAGAATTGATGTACAAGACTGGTTCAACATCTTCAGTTTACTCTGAAAGAACTGTTTTCAATCATTCAAACAGGAAAATCATTCCATGATGTACAATTCCTGGATGGACCTACACATATACTGGGCAGCTCTTGTCACTGGAAGAGTGACAGGAGTCCCTTCCATAACTGTTGGCATCAGCCTGCCACTGGGAGGGAAAAAGGAGAGGCAGACACCTTATCTTCCGGTCTGTGCTGGCACAGGGACCTCCGCCAAAACCTGATGTCAAGAAATTCCTTAGAGAAGGTAAAATCACCAACAATTTCAAAACTGACAGCGAGTCTCAACACCAGTGCTGAGCTGTGACTTTATGCTGTTATCATGGGAATAACAGGCTCCCTACTACATGCCCTGAAGACACAAACACACACACATACGCTTACACAGCTCTGCGATGCATGTAGATGATTACATTGCAGCTTCCAGTCAGCATGTCAGAACAGGACAGCCAAACCAACATTCATACAAATGTCCAAGTGTCTATGCCATCTGAGCCCTGAATACAGCATTACATGGGTGTACATAACATACGGTCCAGGCTCCACATGTGTACTTGCATACTGAAGCAGTGTGAAGATCCACTCAACCTTCATCTCTTTGAGCTCTCCTTAGAGACACATAAGTTGGAGGTCACATCAAAACCATGGGAAAGCACCACCAAGACATGAAAGATCCCTGCTGGTGAGACAGGAATTCATAACTCTTAAGGACACTGAGCACTAAGAATTGAAATAACCCTAGAAGAAGAAGAAATGAGAATTTTTGTGGTAGACACAAACACATATGGCCAAAACAGTATGAAAATGTGATGAATATGGGGGTGATGTAATAGGCATTCAGCATGCAAAGGGGAAGGACAGAAGAGATGACTACAAATTGGTACTGATGTGTGAAAACGGCAGAAATGAAGGAAAGGAATGGCCAAGAGCCCTGTTGCATCCCCACATTAGGATGAGGACCAACTTGACATGCTTATCAAGTACACTCAACTCTCGATTATCCAGGATAATGGTGGGGATGGAAATCACGATTAATCGAAAACCCGGTTAAGACAAATTTTATTAAAAGTAGTACTGTAATTCTGTACCGTCATAATACATAGGCTTACCTGTATTTACATTTATTCAACCTCATTTTTATGTCATCCCATGGCCTATTTAATATTTTTTTACCTTACACTGAAGTATGAATTAGTTATTTCAATCACAGTGTTCAACAACATCCAACACTTTTTACGAATATTCACACTTAACACTTAAAAAATTTAATATTGTCGTTTGCTTTTTCGCGCCATTTTCCTTTTCACGGATATCTGTACGAAGCCTATGTAATATTAGCTTGTCACTTAATAAACTGTTCTCTTCACTCTCAAGATAGGCTAGTAAGGATTCCAAATGATTAAGAGCAGCACCATGTGATATTTTCTTACTAGCAGCACTGTCCACCTCTTCCTCATTCTCACTTTCTTCCCGCTCTTCTGGCTGGGCCTCCACTGAACTTAGGAGTTCATCACTGCTTAACATTTCGAAGCCTGGCTCACACGAGTTTCTGTTGAATACTTAACACAACACACTTCCTTTTACACCCTGACATTTTGTTAACGCACTTGAAGATCAATACAAAGAGACTAACTGGGGTGGTGTATCTGTCCTTGAAACTTTCCACAAATCCTTGCATTCTTTCACCCCTACCCTAGAACACTGTTAGCATAACGGGACCAAAAAATGCAGAGCTCGGTTCACACTAGTGTGAAAATAGTGTTACAACTCATCATGTGAAACAAAAGTGAATAAATATTAAACAACATATAAGCCTCAAAAAAGCCCTGGTAGCACTGGTTAAGCTGCAAACCGGTTTATCCACCCCTGGATAATCGAGAGTTGAGTGTATATGTTTGCCATTCTGCTGCTTAGTTACAAAACACATACTATTATACTGTGCTGCAGTACTCAACAATTAGAGGTTTCATAGAGTTCTTGTGCTTATTGCAGAAAATTCTATCTCACACTGGATGCTTCACACAGTCATGTCAGTAACTCAGAATATAAGGCCCCACCACAGCTCAAGCGCTTCGTCGCTGGCTTCCCACCGTGGCGGCCCGGGTTCGATCCTGGGTCTGGTCAAGTGGGATTTGTGGTAGACAAAGTGGCAATGAGGCGGGTTTTCTCAGAGTACTTCGGTTTCCCCTGCCAATCTTCATTCCACGAAATTCTCCATCATCATAATAATCACCTAAGGCAGGCTACAATAGGCCAATCAGTGGCTGCTGTGCTGAGTGGACCAAGTTGGACTCCACCCACAACTAAGCGAATAAAAAAAAACTCGGAATATAAAGCACTGAATCATGGGACAATCAGTGAACACTGACTGGAAAGGATGTAGAAGGAAGAGAATGTGGTCCAATTTTAGGCACCAATCTAGCCATTTACCTGGAGGTACTGAGGAAAACTACTAATAACCTCGGTCAGGATAGTCAGTGCCCTGTCGAGATTTGAAATGGTCACCTCCCAAACATAAACGAGGAATGCTACTGCTTCAGTCAACTTGATATGTATGGTGCAAGGGTAACTCTCTTCATTTCTTGGATATTTGTCCACTTAACATTTCTGATTTATACGAGTACAGTGATGTCAGGAGGTCAGGGTATAAACCACTGAATGGTAGGATGGTTAATGAATAACTGCTGTAAAGGATGTAGAAAGGAATGGCAGTGGTCTAACTTGAAGTATTATTCTGGCATTGGCCTGGAGGGACTGATATGGATATCTCTGTTTCCAAACCATGAACACCAGGCCAGAAGTCCAGAAGTAAGCCAAATGTTCCTATCATCCATGACTCATTTCCTTTCCCCTTACTTCTATATAAACTGACATTTTCCCAACTTTCGTCACTTCTACTCTGAAGGTGGAGGCAGTGTATTCCTACCTACCTACCTACCAGACTGCATGACATCATAACAATGAGGACCACAACATATATGTTGACAAAACTGCTCTAGGCTAACATTATTTCACAGATTCTGGTAAACCATGTTCCCTCTCTACAATTAAGTCTAAAAACAAGCACTATCAGGTACTGTCATATCAGATAGTGGATGAAATCTAGCATCTGATTGTCTCATCCACTGATAGTGGTGTAAAAAAACATGAAAATCCTCAGTGGACATGAGTCCTTTATGATCCAAGTTCTCAAGCCAGATGGTGTGTCAGAATAAAAGTGGGTAACCCTATTGCATTTACTATATGGCCCTTCCAACTTTGTCCCAAAGGTCCTGTCACTAAAATACAAGCATGGATATCTTGATATGAAGTCTGCAATATAAAATGCAACAACCATAATTCTTAATGGATGATCGACAGAGATGTAGGCATAACAGAAACCATATTATTTTTTGTACTTTGTAAATATAAATACTTCTGAGATATACTACCAGAGTCAATAAGTTCATGGAATGGCCGAAAAGCATCATATGGGAATTTACTGCCAATATGTTTCAGCAATGTTTTTGACAGCTACATCAACGTTGGCAGACTTGCATAGCGGCCAACGGCAACTATTTTGAGGGCCGATGTGGATCTCCATAAGTGTATGTGAATACCTTGTAATATGACGCAATAAAACCACATTCCACGAACGTAATGACTCTACCACGTATATTAG